TGATACAATTTGATGAACTTGACCTACACCTATGGATACAGTAGCTCAAAAGAGGGAACAAATCTTTACAGTGAGGATCTTTCCCAACCCCTCCATACACAGAGTAGACAGGGATGGCCAACTTGGACATTGGTTACCCAAAATGGGGTGACTACAAAGTCAAGAAGTGACTGGCTTATGAGCATTCAAGCGGGAGCCTAGATCCAGAGGGTACGGAGGAAGGTAGAATCTCCACCGAGTAGTTTCCAGTCTGTCTGGGTGGGGCTGGTGAAAGGAGATGCCGATAGATCTCATGATACAATAGTGAATAATTGTTATCAGGACTGATTTGTGAGAGTTGGAAATGTAAAGGTAAATGTTTTGTAGCAAAAGGAGGGGAGTGATTAACTTTCCAGTCTAGGAGTGGAGGTCCCTGGGACCATCAAGTAGAAGAGTAGAGAGCGGGACCCTACCCAGAGAAGCAGTGATGCCAGAGATGGAGGCAGAGATGATGACGTGGAGAGATAGAGCAGCTGGGGACTTTAGACCCAAAAAGGGAGAGTGGCTGTGTGCTGACGACCTGGGGAGCAGGCTTGCAGGGTATGCTCTTTGGTTGGTTGATGATGCATGGAGGGGATTATAACCATGGCATTGAAATGATACACAACAGGATGAGTGTAAAGCTAATGTTCTCCCATGTAAACTATCACATAATTCACAATAAAGCATTAAAACCAAAAAGAGATTCTGATATTTGCTCCTTAGCACAGAGAAGGTAAACCAATGGGAAGAAATGAGATAAAAGCTGAAAAGAAAATTTTAAAGGGTAGCTCGAGAAGACAAAGTATTGTACTGAAATGTGCAAAGACCTGGAGTTAGAAAACCAAAAGGACAGAACATGCTCAGCATTTCTCAAATGGAAAGAACTGAAGAAAAAATCCAAGCATCACGTTGCAGTTTTGAAGGAATATGGGCAAAATATTGAATGAGACAGAAAGCATCAATGGAAGAGGGAAGAAATACACCGAATCACTATACCAAAAAGAATTGGTCAACTATCAGCCACTTCAGGAGGTATCATAGGATCCAGACTGATGGCATTGAAGCAAGAAGTCCAAGCAGCACTGAAGGCACTGGTGGAAAGAAAGGCTCCAGGTATTGATGGAATATAAATTAAAATGTTTCAACAAACAGATTAAATGCTGGTGACACTCAGTTGTGCCCATTCCAAAGAATGGTAATCCTACAGAAAGTGGAAATCAACTAATTGTATTGTTAATATTACATACAAGTAAAGCTTTGCTGAAGGATAATTCACAAGTGGCTACAATAGTGCATCGACAGGGAACTACTAGAATGTCAAGCCTGATTTAGACAAGGCTATTCAGTGAGGGCTATTATTACTGACCTTAGATGGATTTTGATTTAAAGTAGAGAATACCACCAATATGCTTACCTGCGCTTTATTGACTACATAAGGCCTTTCGATTGTGTTGATCATGATATGGAAAACATTGCAAAGACTGGGCATTCTGGAATAGTTAATTGTGTTCATGAGGAACCTGTACACAGACCAAGAAGAAGTCATTAGAATAAAACAAGGGAATACTAAATGGTTTAAAATCAGTTAAAGAGTGTGTCAGAGTTGTATCCTTTCACCATACTTATTAAATCTGTATGCTGAGCAACTAATCTGAAGAGCTGGATTATGTGAAGAATATGCCATCAGGATTGGATGAAGACTCATTAAGAACCTGTGATACCCAGATGATCCAACCTTATGTGCTGAAAGTGAAGAGGACTTAAAATACTTACTGATGAAGGTCAAAGACCACAGCCTTCAGTATGGGCTACACCTCAACATAAAGAAAAGAAAAATCTTCACAACTGGACCAACAAATACCATTATGATGAATGCAAAAAGATTGAAGTTGTCAAAAATTTTGTATTGCATTAGGCAGATCTGCACAAGACCTTTTAATGTATTCAAGAACAAAGATGTCAGTTTGGTGACTAAGGTGCACCTGATCCCAGCTATGGTATTTGCAGTAGCGTCATATACATGTGAAAGTTGGACAGTGAATAAGGAAGACCATAGAAAAATTGATGCATTCTAGTCATGATGTTGGAGAATATTGAAAGTACTGTGGATTATCAGAAGAAAAAAGAAATTTCTGTTCGAAGAAGTACAGTCAGGATGCTCCTTAGAAGCCAGGATGGTAAGACTTTGTCATGCTTTGGAAGGAACAATCCCTGGAGAAGGGCATCATGCTTGGTAAAGTGGAGGGTCATTGAGAAAGAAGAAGACCCCCATGATATGGATTGGCACAGTGGCATCAGCAATGGGCTCATGGTAACAACCATTGTGAGGATCATCAGAACTGGGCACTGTTTCATTCTGTTGTGCATGGGTCACTATGAGTTGGAACCAACTCAGTGTTACCTAACAACAACTTGTTTTGTGCATTTTATAGTTGGGATTGAATGAGCTAACATGTAAAGAACTCAGAAGGTTTATGCTTATCAAAGTTCAGTTTTTGTTACTGTATCACAATAGTTTTTTTAATTTTGGAAAAGGCAGCTGAAAAATACCTGGGAAATGGAGAAGAGGATATGAACACATATATATTTATCAGTAGGATAGTCTATTCAAGTAGAATTTTAATTCTGTTTTCAGTTTTAGAGTTACTGAGGAGTAGTGTCTAAAGAAGTGTATCTTTCCCAGAGATTGCCATGTATTCTCACTGAATGAAACCATATCGTTAAAGCAGTCTTCGTTAATTACTTTAAAAAAAAAATCAGTGTTTTTCAGTAAATTTTCAGTATTTCTGAAATATTTTTAAAAGTTGAACTCTTTAGTAAATTGAATCTTTTGATTCCTCATTCTTAGGATATTTTGCTTTTCTGTTTTTATAGCAGTACGTCTGGTTCAATATTGGTAGTGTGGACACCTTTGAGCGGAATCTGGAAACTTTACAGCAAGAACTGGGCATAGAAGGAGAGAATCGGGTCCCTGTTGTCTACATTGCTGAAAGTGATGGGTAGGTAGTGGTTAAAACAATGAACTGTTTTGCATGCGACATACAGTAACCCATCTGTCACCAGGTGGCAGTGTTACCAATTAAGTTCTCAAGCATACCTTTCTTGGTCCGGCTTTTTTATTTGTTTGTTTTTAAAACCGTTAACTAGAGTCCCTGAGTGGTTTTAAAGGTTAAGCACTTGACTGCTAACCTACTGATTGGCAGTTTGAACCCTCCTAGAAGCACCTAAGAAGAAAAGTCTGGTTTGTACAGAAAGTATTGTATGACATTACATACCTCACAGTGCTTCAACACTCTCCCCATTTCCTTTCAGCATTCCCAATTTTATCTTGAATTTACTACCCCTTCCTGCCTTCTCATCTTTACTTTTTGGTTAAATGTTTCCTTATTGATCGCATATTGTTATATGAAACACAGTCCTCTTGGGTGCTGTTGTTTATTTAAAGGGCCTTTCTGTTTGCCTGAGCAGTGGTCTCTGGGAATGACTTTCATTCCCAGAGTCAGAAGGGTGTTTTAGGCCAGAGTTCGGATGGTTCTTCTAGTTTCCTGTCACACCAGAAAGTCTGGATTTTTTTTGTGTGTGTTTGTGTGTGGAGTTTGATTTTTTTGTTCTATATATTTTTTTCCTACATTTTGTTCTACGTTTTTCCCTTGTGCTGTCTGGAACCCTCTGGTGTGATCGCAGACTGAGTAGTCAGCAGTGATAGCTGGGTACCATATAGTTTTTCTGTGTTGGGGTCATGTAGATTGTGAACCATGTGGTCCATTAGTCCTTTGGAACAATTGCTCCCCTGAATCTTTGGTTTTCTTCACTTTCCTTTGCTCTGGACAGGAAGTGACCAATACTTGTATCTTAGATGTCCACTCACAGGCTTTTAAGACCTAGAATCACCAAAGTAGAATGCAGACCACTGTCTTTCTAGACTATGCTTTGCCAATTGACTTAGCTGTCCCCAAAGTCCTTTGCCTTCGAGGCTAGAACTTTTGTCCTGGGAGATGTTTGGTTATAGCTAAGACATTTCCATGACTGTGCTCCTTGTGTACACTATTGTGTATATTAATATCAGTGTATCCCCTACAATTATGCATGTAGAAACATCTACAATCAAACCTGTAACTATAGTATAAATGTTTCCTTACACCTCCTCGTACCCTTTAAGCATGCCTATCTACCTATGTATGCAATGATAATTACTGGTGATTAGAATGTGAACGTTAGGAACAAAGAGTTGGAAAATATGGCCTTGGTGATAGAAATGATGCTAGAGATCTTATAATAGAATTTTGCAAGACCAATGACTTACTCATTTCAAATACCTTTTTCAACAACATAAAAGGTATACATGTGAATCTCAACAGATGGAATGCACAGGAATCAAATCTATGTCTGTGGGGAGAGATGATGTAAAAGACAATGGAGAAGCCCAATATAATTAGCCAAAACAAGTCCAGGGCTGACTATAGAGTAGACCATCCATTATGCATAAGCAAGTTAGGGTAAATCTCAAGAAAATTAAAGAAAAGACATACAACCTTGAATATGTCCAACCTGAATTTATAGATCATCTCAAGAATAGATTTGATGCATTAGACACTAATTATTGAAGACCAGAAGAGTTGTGGAATGACATCATACATGAAGAAAGCAAAAGGTTGCTAAGAAGACAGACAGGAAAAAAAAGACCAAAATGTGTGAGAGTCTCTGAAACTTGCTCTCAAACTTAGAGAGGGTAAATCAACTGGATTAATTCAGGAAATACAAGAACTGAACCAAAAATTTCAAAGAGTAGTTTGAGAAGACAGTGTCAAGAATTATGGTGAAATGTGCAAAGACCTGGAGTTAGAAAACAAGAAGGGAACAAGATGCTCAGCATTTCTCAAGCTGAGGGAACTGAAGAAAAAATTCAAGCCTCTGGTTGCAATATTGAAGAATGCCATAGCTCTGGTAGTGTAGTGGTTGCTAATCAGACTGCTAACCTCAAGGTCAGCAATTCGAAACTACCAGCTGTTCCACGGGAGAAAGATGAGGCTTTCTGCTCCCATAAAGGTTTATAGCCTCGGAAACCCTGTACAGGGTTTGAGTCGGAACCGACTCCAAGGTACATAACCACCACCATGGGCAATGGAGTCCTGGTGTGGTGCTTTAAGTTAATGCCAGACTGCAAAGCCATTTGAACTACAAGGTCGGCAGTTCAAAGTCACCAGCTGCTCCTCAGAAACCCTGTACAGGTTTGCTGTGGGTCGGAACTGACTCGATGGCACTTAACAACAACAACATGGGCAAAATGTTGAATGATGCAGAAAGCATCAAAAGACAATGAAAGAAATATATAGAGTCACTGTTCCAAAAAGAATTGGTTGATGCTCAACCATTTCAAGAGATACCATATGACTAAGAATTGATGATACTGAAGTGTCGCATCCGACAATGGCTATGCTCTGCAACCCACATGGAGAGATTAAATCTGAGGAGCTCTGGTAGCATAGTGGTTACGAATCTGGCTGCTAACCTAAGGGTCAGCAGTTTGAAACTACCAGCTGTTCCACGGGAGAAAGCTGAGGCTTTTTGCTCGCGTAAAGGTTTACAGCCTTGGAAACCCTGTATAGGGTCGCTATAAGTCGGAACCAAATTCACGGCACACAACAACAATAAGAAGATGGGGTGATGGGATATTAGAAAAAAAGAAAGACACAAGACACAAAATGAAAATAGTGAAGTTGGGACCAGGTGGGACACAGCACTCTGATGGAGATATTGTGACACAGATTCACTAGACACTAAATCTAGATACTGAATCTAGATTCAGCATGTTTATTATATATCAAAGGAGGTGCTGGGGGCAGGGAAGAGAGTACAGAAACATCTGGTGTGTGATGCAAGCAGTAAGTGGGACTTTATCAGAAGAATGTGTTGCTAGGGAAACAGAGATAGGGCAGTGAGACTTTTTTGTAGACTTGAACTGAAGGTCATACAAAGAAAAAAACCTTGTAAGTTCCTTGTCCCCCAAGGCAGCCCTGCAAGTTCCTCAGGGGGCAACTAAACCTGGTAGCAGCCTGATTTTCTGGACCACAACTGTTAGATTGCAGTCCTTCTGTTAAACTACCCCCAAGTCTGAGACCTTCAGCTCAAATCGCTCCCAACATTGAAGGAAGAAATCTAAGCTGCACTGAAGGCATTGGTGAAAAACAAAATTCCTGAAATGGATGGGATGCAAATTGAAATGTTTCAACAAACAGGTGGAGCACTGGAGGTGCTCATTTGTCTATGCCAAGAAATTAGTAAGACAGCTACCTGGTCAACTGATTGGAAGAAATCCTTATTTGTGCCCATTCCAAAGACAGATGATCTAATGGAATATGTAAGTTGTTGAACAATTATCATTATATCAATGTAAATAAAATTTTGCTGAAGATAATTAAAAAATAGTTGCCACAGTACATCGATATAGAGCTGCCAGAAACTCAAGCCATGAAATAAGGATATCGTTGATGTCATATGGATCTTGTTTGAAAGCAAATAAAACCAAAATGAAGTTTACTTGTGCTTTTTTGACTACACAGAGTCATTCAACTGTGATAATAGCTGTGGATAACATTGTGAAGGATCAGTATTCCAGAACGCTAAATTGTGTTTCTAAGGAACTTGTACATAGACTAGGAGGCAATCATTCTAATTGAACAAGGGGATACTAAATGGTTTAAAATCAAGAAGGTGTGTGCCAGGTTGTAAGGAGCTCTGGTAGCGTAGTGAGTACGAATTGGGCTGCAAACCGCAAGGTCAGCAGTTCAAAACTACCAGCTGTTCCGCGGGAGAAAGATGAAGTGTTCTGGTCCCGTAAAGATTTACAGCCTTGGAAACCCTGTACAGGGTTGCTATGAGTCGGAACCTACTCCACGGCACACAGCCACCACCAACTTGTACATAGACCAGGAGGCAATCGTTCTAACAGAACAAGGGAATACTGAATGGTTTAAAATCAAGAAAGGTGTGTGCCAGGTTGTATCCTTTTCACCATATTTACTCAATCTGCATGCTAAGCAAATAATCTGAGAAGCTGGATTATATGAAGAAAAATGTGGCCTCATGGGAAGACTCCTTAACAACCTGCACCATGCAGATGACACAAACTAGTTTACTGAAAGCAAATAGAACTTGAAATACTTACTGATGAAAATCAGCCTTCAGTATGGATTACAATTCAGTGTAATGTAAACAAATATCATCACAAGTGGGCCAGTAAGTAACATCTGGATAAACAGAACAGATTGAAGTTGTAAAAGAGGTCATCTTGCTTGGAAGCAGCATTCAAGAAATTAAAAACTTAATGCACTGAGCAAATCTGTTGCAAAAGACCTCTTGAAAACATTCAAGAGCAAAGATGTCAGTTTGAGGAGTAAGGTGCACCTGACCCAAGTCAGGGTATTTTCAGTTATTTTATATGCAAATGAAAGTTGGACAGTGAACAAGGAAGACCTTAGAATAGATGCATTTGAATTTTGGTGTTGGAAAAGAATATTGAAAGTACAGAAAACAAACAAATCTGCCTTGGAAGAAGTACAACCACACTACACCATAAAAGCCCGGTTGGCGAGACTTTGTCTCTCCTAATTTGGGCCTGTTGTCAGGAGGGATCAGTCGCTGGAGACTGACATCATGCTTGGTAAACTGAAGGATGATTGATAAAGAGGAAGACCCCCCAACAAGAATGACTGACACAATGGCAGCAACAAGGGGCTTAAAATAACCATTGTGAAGATGGTGCAGGACCTAGCAGTGTTTTGTTCTGTTGTGCAGAGGACACCTAACAATAATAAAAACATGTACTTATGTATCGATTTGTAAATTATAATTTCTTATACTACTGTTGCAGGAGTGTCTATGTTATAATAATTACTGTAGTTGCCACTTATCCTTGCATTCCTTTCAGTGTCTCCTTTTGCTTTAGTCATGCTGTGATGACTTCTCACATATTGTGTATTCCTTTCCCTTCATCAATATTTATACTTGTCGTCCAGCTTTCGCATCCATATGAGGCTATTGAAAACACCATGGCCTGGGTCAGGTGCACCCTAGTCCTCAAGCTGACATCTCTGCTCTTCAACACTTTAAAAAGTTCCTGTGCAGCAGATTTGCGTAGTGCAATACGTCGTCTGATCTCTTGACTGCTACTTCCGCGAGTGTTGATAGTTGATCCAAGAAGAATGAAGTCCCTGACAACTTCAATCTTTTCTCCATTGATAAGAATGTTGTTTATTGGTCCAGTGGTGAGGAATTGTGTTTTCTTGACATTGAGATGTAATCCATATCGAAGGCTGTGCTCTTTGATCTTCATCAGTGAATGTTTTAAATCCTCTTCACTTTCAGAACATGGGAATACTGAATGTTTTAAAATTGGGAAAGGTGTGAGACAGGGTTGTATTCTTTCACCATACTTATTCAACCTGTATGCTGAGCAAATAATACGAGAAGCTGGGTTCTATGAAGAAAAACGTGGCATCAGGATTGGAGGAAGACTCATTAACAACCTGCGATATGCAGATGATACAACCTTGATCGCTGAAAGTGAAGAGGACTTGAAACATTTGCTTATGAAGATTAAAGAGCACAGCCTTCGATATGGATTACATCTCAATGTCAAGAAAACACAATTCCTCACCACTGGACCAATAAACAACATTCTTATCAATGGAGAAAAGATTGAAGTTGTCAGGGACTTCATTCTTCTTGGATCAACTATCAACACTCGCGGAAGTAGCAGTCAAGAGATCAGACGACGTATTGCATTACGCAAATCTGCTGCACAGGAACTTTTTAAAGTGTTGAAGAGCAGAGATGTCAGCTTGAGGACTAGGGTGCACCTGACCCAGGCCATGGTGTTTTCAATAGCCTCATATGGATGCGAAAGCTGGACAGTGAATAAGGAAGATCGTAGAAGAATTGATGCCTTTGAGTTGTGGTGTTGGAGGAGAATACTAAAAGTGCCATGGACTGCCAAAAGAACCAATAGATCTATTTTGGAAGAAGTGCAGCCAGAGTGCTCCTTGGAGGCCAGGATGGCTAAGCTTCGTCTCTCCTACTTTGGACATGTTGTCCGGAGGAAACAATCGTTGGAGAAGGATGTCATGCTGGGTAGGGTGGAGGGTCAGAGAAAAAGAGGAAGACCCCCAACGAGATGGATCAGCCAGGTGGCATCATTGATGGATTCAAGTGTGGCAGCAGTAGTGAGGTTGGCCCAGCATCGAACATTGTTTCGTTCTGCTGTGCATGGGGTCGCTATGAGTCGGTTCTGACTCGATGGCACCTGACAACAACAACAATAACTTGAAAAAAAATTTTTTTCTTGATACTCAGGCAATGTTGATTGTAGATCAGTTATACCTGTAGTCTGGATGCTTGGTGCTAGGAACAAGAAAGCAATCGCCAGCAGAAGTCTGGAGAACAGGTGTTTTTAATTTAAAATATTACTTTTTGCAATTCTACCTCAATGACATAGCACACGAAAATTCTGTATACTTCTGATAAAATCTTAGAATATTTATTTTATTTTAGAAATAGAAAATGTATGCTAATATATCCCAAGCAGTTATTTGAGAATATACCTTTGATAACATGAAAAAAAAACAAATGAACAATATTTTAAAAATACTATTTTTATGTATTCTTCCCTTTAGCTCATTTCTTCTGAGCATGTTGCCTACAGTCCTCATAATTGCTTTTTTACTATACACAATACGAAGAGGGCCTGCTGGTATTGGTCGAACAGGCCGGGGAATGGGTGGACTCTTCAGTGTTGGAGAAACTACTGCCAAGGTTTTAAAGGATGAAATAGATGTGAAATTCAAAGATGTGGCTGGTTGTGAAGAGGCCAAATTAGAGATAATGGAATTTGTGAATTTTTTGAAAAACCCGAAGCAGTATCAAGACCTAGGAGCAAAAATCCCAAAGGTAAGAGGAACATTCAGAATATTTTCAACTCATTAACCCCCAAATCTTTTGAAGTATATTTTGATCTATGAAGTTATAGTTTTATGACATTTGATTACTTATTACAAAATAGCTGTTTATTATTGTTCTTCCTGTGTTTTAAGTTTTTCTTCTCTGCTTAACTCCAGTAATTTTAGGTCAGTTTTTTTAGTGTGAATACATCTTTTAGTGTGTGGTGTGGAGATTTCTGAAAACATATGTGTTCTTTCCTCTTAGATACCTTCCTTGACTCTCTCTCCAATCTGCTTTAGGTCTCTGCTCCTCCCACTGCCCTCCCCCCATATTCCACAGCCATAGCACCCTGAGTTCTGTGTTCATGGCTCAGGGATGCAATGGAGAAAAAATCAGAGAAAAGATCCGCTGGCACTAATTGTCACCTTTTCTCCTTCAAACAAATTATGCACAGGGCTTGGCGCTGAATAGGAACTTGGTATTTGTTGAGTGACTCAGTTATTGAGTAAATGAATAGAAAAATATTTATGTAATTCTTTTTTAAAAATGTACTTTTTAAAAATTGTTAAAACTTGAAATAAAGCGTTCCTTAAAGGAATCCTTGTAAAGAGAATCATAATTTCCTTGATTTTTATATTTTGTCTATATGGATAAAAAGCCATTATTTTAAATTTGCTGTTAATATAATATATAAAATATTAAATTTACTATTAAATAAGTAATTTCATAGTATTTGATTAAACATGTTTTCTGTTTAACTAAATTCAACTTTGTTCATCATTAGATTTGTACTTCATTTGGGAAAATTTTAAAAAGAAGAAAATAAAAAATCTCAGTTTTATTACAAAGCCTGGAAAAATATTTTTTGAACATACTCACCTCCTCACATTCAGTATTTATGGTAGTCTATTTATTAAAAAAAGGACATTACTTATAACAAGTCATTTATTAGAACATAATTGTAAGCAAAATTTGTAGAGTTAGATTTTATTTAAGTCCCATGTTCATTTGTGCCAAAAATCACTAGCCTGTGCATTGCAGAAGTGGTAGGTTGGGTTTATTAATTATATTCTTCAAAAACCTGTTTTCTGTGAATAGTGTCAAATAATTATGCAAATTAGTAGTGTGGTATCTTGTCTCTGAACTATTTAAGTAAATATCAGCTGATTTACTAGAAGATTCCTAGCTTAACTTTTTATACTATTATGCTAAATATATAAGAATCAACAGTAAAAATAAAGAGACTCATTTAAGATTTTACATTCTTAGCTATTTGTTTTAAGAAAATGATTTCTAATAATTCTTATCTTATTCTTACTACGTTTTACCATAGTTCAAATGTTTGAGAAATATTTTAATCTAATGTATATAGATTTATACCTTGGAATTATTTGTGGATATGAGTTCACGCTTCTGGAATTCTCATTAAATTTAATTTCTCTTTTGTGTCTTTGAAGGGTGCCATTCTCACTGGTCCTCCAGGCACCGGGAAAACACTGCTAGCTAAAGCCACAGCTGGAGAAGCCAATGTCCCTTTCATCACAGTTAGTGGATCTGAGTTTTTGGAAATGTTTGTTGGTGTGGGTCCAGCTAGAGTAAGTCTTCTGTTCCATTCTGATGGTATACTCCCTCTCCAGCCCAAAGGCCCTGGCTTACTTGTCACTGCCTTCAGCTCTTTCAGGGCCAAGCTAACATCAGGCTGCTGATTTCTACCTACCTACCCCACACCTACCAACATTTAAAATAGTTTTAGTTTGTGTATATGAAGTTGCTGTTGTTCATTATGTGCCATTGAGTCAGTTCCAACTCACAGCAAACCAGCATAGGGTTTCCGAGGAGCGGCTGGTGGGTTGAACTTGAGGTTCAAACAGACCTTTCGTCCCAGTGCTTATCCTGCAGTTCCACACCAGGACTCCATGTATTTGTGGGTTAAAAAAAATAACAGTTTTATTAATTGTCAAGTGCTGTTGAGTTGGTTCCCATCCATAGCAACCCTGTATAGGGTTTCTGAGGAGTGGCTGGTGAACTTGAACTGCCAACCTTGCAGTTCAAACCAACTTTGCAGTCCATCGCATTAACCCCACAGCGCCACACCAGGACTCCTATTAATCTGTGGTTCATTTGTAATACTTTTCTTTCACTTGGCAAAATATTTTCATGTTGTAGGAAGTATCAAGGCTTCATTCCATTTATAGCTAAATAATATATTCTATTGTGTAGATATACCACTTTTTTTTTTTTTTTTAATTTAAGGTTTTATTGTGGATTGAGTGAAAGTTTACAGGGCATATCATCAGTTTTACATTCAACAATCATATACCTTGTTTCATTACATTGATTATAATCCCTTCCATGTACCATCAGTTAACAGTATTTCTCTCTATCCACTTTTGCTTTTTTAAAAAAACACACAAACAAAAAAAAAACCACTCAGTCTTATATAATAATGTATATCTCCAAAGGGCAAATTCTGCAAGTCGGCTTCCGGCCACTAGCTATTAGTCCTTCTTTTCTTAGTCCATGAATTTAGAGTCCTCAGCCGCTCCCCCTCTCCATACCCCCATCTTCTGCCTCCTTTGCTGGCGCTGCTGCTTCTCTGGATAAGGTCCTGCATTCTACTTGTGCGCTCCATTCTTGATGTTCCTAGGGTCCTCTGTTTCTGGACTGTAAGATTAACCGCTCCCCTTTTTGTGTTACAAAACGTCTACCTTTACAGTTGTGACAGTCGCAATTAGTCATGATGACAGTTATTCACTATTGAATCTTACGAATCTTATACCTATTTCTTTTCACCAGACCCATCCAGACAAGATGACAGCTATTCAGTGGGGACTGTTTCTTTCCCCCCCATACTCTTAAGCTAAACTCCCTCTTGAAACCTTGTAAGCAGTCACTTCGTACCTTTATTGCCCCCTCATTTTAGGTAGCCAATGTGTATAGAGCGGATAGCATTGAAACTTGATTTGAAGACTCTTTCCCTCTCTGTTGGTATTTAAAGTAACTACCCTTCTGAGTATAGGTCAGGATCATCATGAAGATGTATCTTTTGTCACTGTAGCTGTTCCAGTCTGCTTGTCCTTTCTAGTGGTAATGTCTCACCTCACAAGGTTGTGGATGGGACTCAGGATTCCACATAAGGTCCTATACTCTGTAAAGGGTTTACAAGAGGCCTGTTTCACTGGGCAAGTTGTTGAACCCCTTTTAGGTATTCTAATCAGTTATAGGCTGAAGATGGGCTTACAGGTTTTCTGTAATCATGTTTGCCAACATTCCTTTCTATCCCACTCAAGTGTCTATTTTACAGTAGTAGGCAAGGGAAACTAATATTCATAAGGCAGTCAAGGATTTTAGTATTATTTACCCTCTTCAAGCTATACCTAGATCCCTGTACCCCAGAGCCCTGTTGTTCCAAGGTTGAGTATGCATCACTATTTACCTCTGTCCCACTAGGCCTTGCAAACTTGTCTCGGTGTTCCCCAATCTATCCTGTTCTTCTGACTCCTCTCCCCTTCTTGTATGGCCCTCCCCAACACCCAAAGTAAACCCCCCACGCCAACCCCATTGTGTTTACCTTATATTCCATTAGTTCTTCCCTCCATTTAAGACAGTCGATTTTATCCAATAATGTACCTGAACTTCCCACCACCTGGATCTCTGTTCCTTTGTGTTTACCTTTTTTCACACTGTAATTGTTTTGATCATAGACCAACCTCTCAGATCCTCTGTTCTTATAATTTTAATCTGTTCTTGACTCTTCCATTTGTCGACTGAATTCAGGTTGATGCTGCCATGTATGTCATTCAGTAGTTGTCTGTTCTTGTTGGTTCTCAGTCCACAGAACTCCTTTAGGATGTTTTTCATAGCAGGGTTGGCTTTGGCAAAATCCCTTAGCTTTTGTTTATCCTGGAATGTTTTGATTACACCATCGTATTTGATTGAAGATTTGCTGGGTAGAGGATTCTTGGGTGGCAGTTTTTTTCTTTCAGGGTTTTATGTATGCCTCCCCATTGCCTTCTTGCCTGCATGATTTCTGTTGAGAAATCCGAGCTTAATCTGATTTGCTTGCCTTTGTATGTTAAATTTCTCTTTTCCCTAGCTGCTTTCAAGATGCTGTCTTTATCTTTGATTTTGGAGAACTTGATTATTATATGTCTTGGTGATTGTCTTTTAGGGTCTATCCATCCTGGGGTTCATTAAGCTTCTTGAATGCTTATCTTTTCACTTTTCATGATGTTAGGAAAATTTTCTTCCAGAAGCTCTTCAACTATCTCCTCTGAACTTGTGTGATTGTTCCTGTTCTGGAATGCCAATAATTCTTATGTTATTCCTCTTCATGTTATCCAACATGAATCTTAGGCCTTCTTCTGATATTTTTATCCTTTTTTGTGTTTGCTCTTCTATCTTGGTAGTGTTGAGAGATTTATCTTCTAGCTCATTAGTTCTCTTCAGTTCTACTCCTTTGCCCTTTCAGTGTATTGTCCATTTCTGATATTCTATTATTAATTGTTTGGACCTCTTTCTGTAGATTTTGAATTGTTTCCAATGCTGTATCTATCTTATTTGATTATTCCTGTAGCGCTTTTCTGACTTCTTCCTTATTTTTCTCAACTCCATTGTATAGTGTTTTGATACACTTTATAATAATTTTTCTGAATTCCTTTTCTGGCATTTCCAAAGCCTGCCCATCTTCCAGTATGGAGTGTAGGTCTACTTCCAGCTCATTTGCCTCAGTCACTTTATCTTGTTTCTGGACATGTGCAGATATGGTCATCTGCTTCTGTTTTTTAGGCACATTCAGGGGTTATCTGTGGCCTTAATACTTAGATGGGTATGCATTTTGGTATTTTTTTTTTTTGCTTTCTGATTGCCTCCAGGTAGATGTGATCAGGAAATGGGCTTCCCTTTTCACTCTTCTTCTTGAGAAATTTTAAGATGCCACTGTTGGTTGTTTTGATGTAACTTAGGGTTTAATTTTCGGCTTATTTCCTTTTTTGTCTGCTTGTCCCGCTCCACAATCCCCGTTCAGACCTTGTTTCTAGTTGTAAACAGTTCAGGGCTGGCTGTGGCCGTGTGGTTTTAATTGGAGACTGTCTCTTTAAATTTCGAGGAGATCTGTGAGCATGCATAGTAGAACCCTCCGAGGATGGGGCTGACATGCCCACTAGCTTAGACATCCCTATAGTCACCAAAATGGAGGTGCGCAGACAGCAAGGGACCAATGAACAGCTACTGAAAGAAAAGACTGTTCACACCTAAACTCTGTGGTTCTGCCAGGCGTCTGTGGCCATGTCCGATACTTCCCCTGCTGGTCTCACCCAAGTTGGCAGTTTCTGGATGGAGCAGCTGAGCGTACCGGACTAGAAAACAATGGATTTCTTGCGTCTGCCACAAATTCCCCCAGCTGTAAGCCTTCCAACCTTCTAAATGTTCCTTTATATATAGTTTAGAGTTCTGAGACCATCCCCTGAGCCTGCTTGGTTGGGTATTCTGTGTTGTTGTTGGTGGAACTCCTTTACTGCACTTCCACCCGATCCGCCGTCTTGTTTGTTCTTCTTGATATACCGCATTTTATTAATCTATTCTGTTGGTGGACATTTGGGCTGTTTATACCTTTTGACTATGGTGAATAATGCTTCTCTGAACATTCTTATACAAGTTTTTGTGTGGATATATGCTTTCATTTTCCTTGGGTGTATATATAGGAGTAGAATGGCTGGGTCATATAGTAGGTCTCCTTTTTAGGAACTGCCCAACTCTTTTCCTCAGCTATTGTATTTTACATTTCGACCATCAGTGTATAAGGGTTCTACTTTCTCCACATCCTCACTAACACTTGTTATTTGTTTTTTATTATAGCCATCCTAGGGTGTGTGAAGTGGTATCTCATTGTGATTTTGGTTTGCATTTCCTTGATAACTAATGATGTTGATCATGTGCTTATTGATTGTGTATATCTCTTCTATGGACAAATGTCTATTCAGATCCTTTGTCCATTTTTAATTGGGTGGTTTGTCTTTTTGTGTTGCATTGTAAGAGTTTTTTTTAATCTATTCTAGCTATTGCTCCCTTATCAGATACATCATTTACAAATTATTTCTCCCACTTTCTAGATGTTGTTAAGTACCGTCAAATTAGTTCTGAATCTTTGCAACCCTGTATAGGGTTTCCGAGGAGCAGCTAGTAGGTTTGCAGTCCAGTGCTTATCCAAAATTTTTAATTTTGATGTAGCTCAATTAAATTTTTTAGTGTCATACCTAAGACTATTGTCAAATCCAAGGTCATGAAAATTTATCTCTATGTTTTCTTCTAAGAGTTTGCCTCTTAATGTTTAGATGTGTGATTAATTGTAAGCTAATTTTTGTTTGTGGTGTGAGGTAAGGTTGCACCTTCATTCCTTGCAAAATATTTTATTGTGTTTTCAGTGAAGGTGTAGGTTCCCATTCAAAAATTTTTGCACAGATTTTTCTATGACATTGGTTACATTCCTTATAAACACACACTCTCATTATTTCTGTTTTAGTTGTTCCATTTCCATTATTCTAGTTGCCCTGCCCCCTTACATCTCATCTTTTTAAAGTAATTATTGACTGTACGACTTCATTCTTTTGCACGTGGCGATCCAGTTGTTGATCCTGACACCCTCGTAGAAAATCAGTTCACCATAGATACATGCATGGATTTATTCTGGATCCTCAGTTCTTTTCCTATTATCTATAAATCTGTTCTTATTGCCAACATCATAGTGCCTTGATGATGTTGGTTTGTAGTATGTTTTGAGTTTAGGAAGTATAAGTGTGAATTAATTTTTAAATAAATACATAAGTTGCTTACACTTGTATATTTTACCTCTATCTAAAATGTTGCTTTTTTAAAGTGCTGCTGAAATGCAAAGTGCTGTCACAGTTACTTTCCCAAACACTAGGATGCAATTTACAGTCAATAAATTATTGTGTCATACATTGACATAATTATTTTTCTTTCTGGCACATAGTAAGAATGGATCTTAAAATTGATGACATCTTAGATTAGATGAAATATAGTAGGTGAAGTCTGGTTTGTTTTGCCAGTCAGCTAAGTCTTAAGTAAAAGGGGAGCATGGGGGGTTGAGTGTTTATAATGATGGACCCTGGGATTTTGTATGTGTACAGAGGAAATTGAAGACAGGAGAGGAGCTATTGATAGTGGAGTAATGGAATGTAAAGCCTGAAAATATGTAAAGAATGTTAGTGTGAGTCTGTGACTATGGTCAAAGGAAGGAATACTTGGAGCTGATTGTTGGAAGGGTAACTTGGCAGTGGTGGCCATGCTAGAGTAGAGCAAAAAGATCGTGAAAGAGGTGAGAGCGAGAACCCTATGGATGTGGAAACCACTAAGAAAATAAGGAATGGAGGAGAGGGAAGAGGAGTCAGCACTCTATGAATAGGCTTCACCGAGGAGCCAGGCTGCACTGTAGAGTCAGGCCTGCAGACAATGAGGCTGTTTATTTCTCAGCTTAATTATTTAGCAGTAGCAGTGGAATGAGGCTTTCTGCTCCCATAAAGATATACAACCTCGGAAATCTTATGCAAAGTCCGACTACATGACACTTAACAAACGGATTGTAAAGAAGGCCCCTGCTCCAGCTGATCTTGAGGAGGCAGATTAAAACCCCTTCTACTCGAAAGGGTTGCAGGAACAGCCAAGTGTCATTTCCAGCAAAAGGTGATAAAAATACTCTGTACAGTATGTACCATGGAAAGATTTCCTTCACCTGGACAGGAAACCTGTTAGCTTATTTCTTACTAGGAGAATGAATGATGCTTACTAGTTAAGAATGACTCTAGTGTTTATACTTTTGTTAAGGTCCGAGACTTATTTGCCCTTGCTCGGAAGAATGCCCCCTGTATTCTTTTCATTGATGAAATAGACGCCGTGGGAAGGAAGAGAGGAAGAGGCAATTTTGGAGGGCAGAGTGAACAGGAGAATACACTCAACCAACTGCTTGTGGAAATGGATGGTGAATATTCAAGTCTTTTTCATTTTAAATGACATTTTCTAATTGTTTTGTATGTTTCTAAAATGGCAGTTTTATGCCAAAGGTGAGTACAAAGAAAAAACAAATGGGCCTTTTTCAAGGCTCTATTATAGCAATGAAGGAGCTCTGGTAGTGTAGTGGTTATGAATCGGGCTGTGAACCTCAAGGTCAGTAGTTCGAAACTACCACCTGTTCCATGGGAGAAAGACGAGGCTTTCTGCTCCCGTAAAGATTTACAGCCTCGGAAACCCTGCACAGGGTCGCTATGAGTCGGAATCGACTCCACGGCATATAACAACAACAACAACATTAAATCAGTGTAGATGATAGCAAAATTTTCTTGTCTGGCAGTTTGCCATAACTTGAGTTACTATTGGTATTAAAATGGCATCTGTACCTAGTGTTGAATAAGAGAAAAATGGTGCAGTGATTTACAAAAGAATATTAGTCTCATTCTCAAAATCATTTGATTCTGAGTCATCATTACTATGATGATTCATGAAACCTATGAGTAGTCAAGTGTGAATTCAGCAAATTTGGAAAGAAAGTACCAAGCTCCATTTTAGTCAGGTTGTTTCTATTATTTAGTAAAGTCAGTTCTTAGGCTGAACCCCTTCCTCCTTATCATACATGTGTGCAGTATTGAGCTACTGTAGATTGCTAAGCCAGGTGTAGCACCCAAATTGAGAAGCCCCCTGTGTGCTGTGACAATCAGTCCACACTTAGAGTGCCTTCCTACAATAGGATAAGATCAGCAGTTTAAACCCATCAGTCCTCTCTTTAAAACTATACTGGGTTGCTGTGTGTTGTAATGGATTTGATGACACACAACAACAGGAACAAAGGTGAAGGTTGATGTGTGTCTCCAAATGTAACTGATCGTCCTGTGGTCCATGGAGATAGCATTTGCAAATTGAGTATTATTGATTTAAAACTTTTTTTGTTTTAAATAATATCTCTTAAGTTTCTAGTTGAATATAATCTCTGGTGGTTTGTTTTTGGAAATTGATTCTAAAAGTTTAAAATCTAATATATGACTATTGTCAATAAGGTGGTGGTGGTGTCCCATAGAGTCAGTTCTGACTCATAGCAACTGTGCATAAGGTTCCTGAGGCTGTGAATCTTTACAAGAGCAGAAAGGCTCATCTTCCTCCCACAGAGCAGCTGGTAGTTTCACACTGCTGAACTTGAGGCTAGCAGCCCGAGTTGTAACCACTGTGTATACCCATTACTCACTTATCAACATGGTTATGTTCCAAAGACCAAGGTCATATGTGAAAAATAGTGTGATGTGAAAATGGAGGATGATTACCTCTAATGATGTCTAACTGCCAACCCAAGCTGACGCAGACCTGTAACCATCACAGCCTTTGTTATTCTGTCCATGAAGTATTTGTTGCTGCTAAATATAATGTCATTAATATACATAATAGATAATAGATTTTTTACTGTTGCCATAAATGCAGATTGTTGGATAATGAGGTAGTTGGTAAGTGAGGAATACATGTAACTCAAATTTGTGATTATAAAAATCATTAGAAAATGAATAAGAAAGTGTTGTTAATATGTCGTGGTTACAAGCTGGGCTGCTAATCACAAGGTGAGCAGTTCAAATCTACCAGCTGTTCGCGGGAGAAAGATGAGGCTTTCTTCTCCCGTAAAGATGTACAGCCTTGCACACCGTATACAGGGTCACTATGAGTCGGCACCAACTTGGTGGCACACAACCAAGCGACCAACCAACCAGTTGGCATAGAGTCCATTCTGATTCATAGTGACCCTGTATTGGGTTTCCAAGGAGTACATGGTGGGCTTGAACCACTGACCTTGTGGTTAGCAATCCAGTGCTTATCCTACAGTGCCACACATATTTAGTGGTTTTTTTATTTGTTAAGTGACATCAAATTAGTTTCTACTCACAGCAACCCTGTATAAGGTTTCCTACGAGTGAACCTCTGACCTTTTGGTTATAGTCTAGTGTTTATCCTGTAGCTCCACCCCTGGATTCCACTGTTCCACACATACAGGGTTGTGTTAATTATATGCCTTGAGTGCAGCTGAGTTGGTTCTGACTCATGGTGGCACTATAAGACAGAGTTGAACTGTTCCAAAGGGCTTCTCTAGGTTGTCATCTTCATGGGACCACATTTTTGGTACTTTTCTCTTGTGGAGCCACTGATTGGATTCTAACTACCAACCTTTTTATTAATAGCTGAGTGCTTAACCATTGCATCACCAGGGAGCCTTAAAATATTTGTGTTGTTGTTACATGATGACAAGCTGGTTCTGGATCATAGCAACCCTGTATAGGGTTTCTGAGGAGCAGCTGGTGATTTTGAACCACTGACCTTGAGGTTCAAACTGACTCTGCGGACAAGTGCTTATCCTACAGGGCCACATCAGGACTCCTAATGTGTGTCTTGTTATTTTTGTTGAGTGTCATCGAGTCACTTCTGACTCATAGCGACCCTGTATAGGGTTTCCAAAGAGCGGCTGGTGAGTTTGAACTGCTGGCCTTGTGGTATATGACATTATTGTTATTGTGGCCGAATGGTTATTCTCCAGCGCCACACCAGGACTCTGCTCATAAGTTCTTTTCTTTTTAGTTGTAGCTTATAATGTACAACATTTGCTGTTTCAACATTTTTATGTGTATAATTCAATGAGCTCTGGTAGCATAGTGGTTACGAATCGGGCTGCGAACCTTAAGGTCAATGGTTTGAAACTACCAGCAGCTCCGCAGGAGAAAGATGAGGCTTTCTACTCCCGTAAAATTTACACCCTCGGAAACCCTGTACAGGGTCGCTATGGGTTGGAACCGACTCGACGGCACTTAACAACAACAACAACAACAATTCAATGACATCTGTAACATTTAATAAGTTGTTTAACCATCACCACTATCTGTTTCCTAAAATATCCATCACTCTTCACAGAAGCTCAGTGCTCCCTAAGCAGTGAGCCTCATGCATAAATTTTTGTTATCACCTGGTAATATCAATAGTGCTTTTTTTTTTTTGGACAAAAAACTACAACAGAAAGTTATGTTGTTTCTTAATCATTCTTAGTGCTGTTGGGTCAGTTCTGGTTCATAGTGACCCTTTAGAGTTTTTCTGAGAAGCAGCTGGTGGGTTTGAACTGCCAACCTTGCAGTTAGAAATCCAGTGCTTATCCTACAACACCACAAATATGAAATCTTAATTTCTCTACAATTTTTTAAACTTTTGATTGTGAATTGAGTGAAGGTTTGTAGATCCTGCTAATTACACTTCATTTCATCTCCATGATTGCAGTTCCCTGAGTGTACCATCACTTATGACACTTCCTCTGTGCTATTTGTTTTCATTTATCCTTTCCCAACCCTTCTGAATTTTGTCCTTGGGTAAATGCTGCACTTCTGATCTTGAATGGATTGACCGTTCTATGGTTCGCATACCTCACTAGTGTTGTCCCAGCTATGTACCTAACTATTGCTTGGCTAAAAATTCAACCATAGGGGTGAGCTTAGTTCCAAACCATAGTATCAATATTCCACCAGTCTTTATCTGCCCAATAAGCCTGCATTTTTGTTTTTTATAAGGTTTGAGATTTGTTCCACATATTCTCCCCTTTCAGGACCTTTTAATGTGACCCCTTCCAGAGCAGTTGGTAGTAGTAGCTGGGCACCGTCTTGTTCTTCTGCTCTCAGGGTCACAGGCACTAATAATGTTCAGTTTGTCCATTAGTCCATTGAACTGATTGTTTCCAAGTGTCTTCAATTTTCATCACTTTTCTTTCCTCTGGACAGGGAGAGACCAATAGTTGTGTCTAAAATAGCTGCTTGTGAGTTTTTAAGACCCCAAAGTAGGATGTAGAATGTTGTCTTTAATGTGGACTGTGTTTTGCACTCATAAATTCTTGGTGGGCACACTGTTGCTTTCTGCCTTGTATCGTTTACTAATGGTTGCATCTTTGTTTCTGTCTTTTCAGGATTTAACACAACGACAAATGTAGTCATTTTGGCTGGCACCAACAGACCAGACATCTTGGATCCTGCGCTGATGAGACCCGGGCGCTTTGATAGGCAGATCTTTATCGGTGAGTTGATGTTCACTGGAATGAGTCTGGCTTTCATGGGATAGATGTCACTGTTTCACTGTGATTGTTTTTTTTTTCCCATTAAAAAATAATTCTAAAGGACCCCCAGACATAAAAGGAAGAGCCTCTATTTTCAAAGTTCACCTCAGACCCCTGAAACTGGATAGTACCCTGGAAAAGGAGAAACTAGCTAGAAAACTTGCAGCCTTAACTCCAGGCTTTTCAGGTGAGTGGAAATGACGTGCTGTACTGCTTATGTAAGTATATTAAAATCAATGAGAGCTCACATCCACATTTATTGCAGTATCATTCACAACAGCAAAAGGATGGAAACAACCTAAGTGCTCTTCAGCGAATGAATGAATCAAAGAACTATGGCACATACCAACAGTGGAATACTGTGATATGTAAAAAAATTATGTTGCATCTGTATAACGTTTTATAATGGATGGAACTGATGCTTATGAACATTATGCTAAATGAAATCAGCCATTCACAAAAGGACAAATACTATGAGACCACTACTGTAAAAAGGCAAGAAAAGGTTTCTGCATAGAAAGAAATGTTCTTTGAAGGTTACCAGGGGTAGTAGGGGAATGGAGAGTAAATCATTACTAAAGAGCATGGTTTTGAGGCCAGCAACCTCAGTGTCAATCTTGAATCTGGGTGAGAGCCTGTTTTACTGGACATGCTTCTGTCCTGATTTTCCTTATTTCTCCTACTTCTGTCCTGATTTTCAAGCAGCTTCCTCTCATGCAGTAGATATAGTTCCTTCACTCTGCTCTCTTTTCTAGATAGAAGTTTAATTTACTGTCTGTTCAGACTCTCATCACTTCATCCATTACTTATTTTTTCCAAAGTTTGAACTCAAGTAGCTCAAGTTTGATTTTTCTTTTTTCTTTTCTACTCTGAGGGCTGAAAATACACTCCTCTCCAAAATCACACCCCCTTTCACATTAGCCATCTTGTTCACAGTATTTTCTGTGTCTTGTTGAGCAGTCTTTGGTGACGAGATCTCAGTTGACTTCTGTGATCTTGACCAGTGCTAACATAGTAATTTCTACTGGTAGAGGAGTAAATGCATTTTCCTCGGGGAAGCACACTAAGGCATGGGTGTCCTTTTTGCTCCAGCTGCAAGGACCCAGGACAGAGGCTGAGCTCTTGTGAAGAAAAGGGCAACACTGGTAGCATGGCACAGTTACAGAGTTCTGGTGACATCAGTGACGCCCTCTAACTACCCTGTAAGTGTTGCTTGGCCCAACCAAGGGCAGCCCGGGACTTGACACTTCCAGTCCTGGAGTGGGTGGCATGGAATGGACATAGCCAATGAGAAATTCCATTATCTTTTTTTTTTTTTTTAAGTTTTTATTGTGAACTGATTGATAGTTTACATGGGAGAACATCGGCTTTACACTCATCGTTTTATTGCAATGATTACAATCTCCGTGCATCCTCATTCAACAGTATTTGCCTCAGTATCCTCTGGGTTTTTTGGTTTTTTTTTTTTGGCTTTTTTAGGGGGAATGGGGAATGTACACAAAACATTCAGGAACATATAATCATTTAAACAACCAAAGGACACATTCTACAAGCCTGTCTCCTGGCTGCCAGCACACAGTCTTTCCCTTTCCATGAGTCTAGAGTCCTCAGCTGTTCTATCTCTCCTTATCTTCATCTCTGCCTCCATCTCTGGTTTCGCTGCTTCTCTGGATAGGGTCCCACATTCTGCTTGTGCTCTTTTCACTTGATGGTCCTAGTGTCCTCTGTGCCTGGACTGTAAGAGTAACTACCTCCTCCTTTTTGTTACAAAACTTCTACCTTTACAGTTGTGACAGTCGCAATTAGTCAGAAATTCCATTATCTTTTCATTTTATTTTTCCATGAACTCTCTGAATACCCCTCATATAGGTTTGACAGACTATTTATACATATGTATTTATATGAACTTGTGTGGTGCTGTAGGATCAGCACTGGATTGTGAACCACAAGGTCAGCAGCAGTTCAACCTCACCAGTTCAAATTTTTATTTTATGAAAATAAAATTTTGCTGAAGGTAGTTAAATGGTTATAATACGATATTGACAGGGAACTTCCAGGTTCAAAAGAGAATATGGAACAAAGAATAACATTGGTGACATCACATGGATCTTGGTAACAGCAGTGAATACCAGAAAGATGTTTACTTGTGCTTTATTGACTTTGCAAAGACTTTCAACTGTGTGAATCTTGACAAATTGTGAATAACAATTCTTCTGAATGAGAATTCCAGAACACTTCATTGTGCTCATGTGGAACTGGTACATAAACCAAGAGGCAGTCATCAAACAGAACAAAGAGTTACTGAATGGCTCAAAATCAGGAAAGGTATGTGTAAGGCAGTACTGTATTCTTTTACCAGACTTATTCAATCAGTATGCTGAGCAAATAACCTGAAAAACCGGATTGTATGAAAAAGAATGTAACATCAGTATTGGAGGAAGACTTACCAAAAACCTGAAATATGAAGACAACACAACCTTGTTAGAAATGAAGAAGACTTAAAATACTTACTGATGAAGATCAAAGACTACAGTCTTCAGTATGGATTGCATGTCAATGTAAAGAAAACAAAAATCCTCACTCGACCAATAAATCACATCATGGTAAATCGAGAAAAGATTGACGTTGTCAAAGACTTCATTTTGTTTGGATCCACAATCAACACTCATGGAACCAGTAGTCAAGAGATCAAACAGCATATTTCATTAGGCAAGTCTGCTGCACAAAACTTCTTTAAAATGTTCAAAAGCAAAGATATTAGTTTGAAGACTAAGGTACACCTGATCCAAGCCAAGCTATTTTCAATCATCTCATATGCATGTAAAAGTTAGACAATAAATAAGGAAGACTGTAGAAGAACTAATGCATTTGGATTATGATGTTGGAGAAAAATATTAAAAGTGTCAAGGACTGCCAGAAGGACAAACAAACATGTCTTAGAAGAAGTACAGCCAGAATACTCCTTAGAAGCCAGGTTGGTGAGATTATCTCTCCTACTTTGGGCATGTGATCAGGAGAAAGTAATCCCTGGAGAAGACATTATGCTTGTAGTAGTGAAGGAACAGTGAAAAAGAGAAAGGACCCCAATGAAATCGATTGGCATGGTGGAAGCAACAATGGGCCCAGATGTAACAATAGTTTTGAAGGTGATGTAGGACCAGGCAGTGTTTCATTATGTTATGTATGGGTTTGTAATGAGTCAGAACTTACTGAATAGCACTTAACAACAACAACTCATGCCATAATGTTTTCAACTGCCTTATACACATGCATATGAATAAAGAAGAACAATGTACAATGAATAAAGAATTCTGGACAACTGATGTTTGAATTACAGTGCAAAGAAGATTGAAAGTACCATGTAGTGCAAGTAGAACAAACAAATCTGTTCTAGGGTTAGGGGTACGGGTATGGGTAGGGTTAGGGTTAGTGGTAGAGTAGGTTTTGGAATATAAATAAGGTTAGGGGAGGGGAAGGGTTAGGGTTACTGCAAGGGTTATGGTTAGGTTCAGGGGTAGAGGTCGGGTTGGATTTAGCTCCTTGGAAACCCTATGAGTAGGAACTGACTCAGCAACACTTAACAATTCATGTGTAACTGTAAATGTATCTGAGAATCTAGTAGAGCATACAGGGAGTGAAGACTTCTTAGCCATACCCATGAGGGGATGAGTTCCTGGGTCTGGGGGCTTGGGACCATAGTATTGGGGGCTATCCAGGTCAATTCCTATAACATAGTTGACAAAGACTGGTGTGAGTGGTGACTGCAATCTTAAAAAAAATTACAAAAGGCCATTTAAGGTGTCACTGTGGGTCTCCCCTTGTGCAGCATGAAGAAGAGTGAAGAAAACTAAACACTCATTGAAATAGTCCAAAGTACTAATTGTATAGGAACCGCAGTCTCCACAATCCACCAGAAGAAATCGGTGGTGCCTGACTACCACTGCTGACCACTCTGAAAGGGATCACTGGAGGACGTTCTGCAGAGTGTGAGAAAATGTGGAACAAAACCCAAATCCTACAGATCATATTGGTTGGATAGAGACTGGTGGAACCCCTGAGATTAGGGCCCTTGGGTACCCTGGACAGTGCAGTGAATTGCTTCATGTGCCTCTTCTAGCCATGGTCTTTGTGACTCCCACAGGGCACTTGGGTGGGACTATGCAGATTAGTTGTATTTCCTCTTTTGCTGATAGGTCTGTTGTTATGTTGTTGTTATGGAGTCAGTTCCGACTCACAGTGACCCTTCACAGGGTTTCTGAGGCTGCAAATCTTTACGGGAGCAGAAAGCCTCATCTTTCTCCCACGGAACAGCTGGTAGTTTCAAACTGCTGACCTTGAGGTTAGCAACCCGATTCGTAACCACTACGCTAGTAGAGGCATGTTGTTGTTGTTGTTAAGTACCGTGGAGTCGGTTCCGACTCATAGTGACCCTTCACAGGGTTTCCGAGGCTGCAAATCTTTACGGGAGCAGAAAGCCTCATCTTTCTCCCGCAGAACAGCTGATAATTGCGAACTGCTGACCTTGAGGTTAGCAACCCGATTCGTAACCACTATGTCTAGGTAAGAGAAAATGCTGATAGGGTTAGATGATTCAGTGTGTCAGTTACAGGGTTAATTGTGATTATAAAAACTTGGAACTCTTATAAGGAGATTGATCAGTTTTGCCATCTTTTTGGTATAAAATGGCCATCTCTGCAGCTGAAAGGGAGTTCTCACTACCATCTAGAAAAAAGAACCAGGAATGGCACACATCCTTTGAACCCCAAGGTGCCTGCACATTGAACTTCTTTTATCCAGGGACAGAAAGCTGTGACACCAGAAAGAATGACCAAGAGCCAGAGTATGAGACTGAGTGGTGGGCTTCCTGGTCCACGGAGGGTGTAAAGCTGAGTGTCCTCAGGCAGGAGGCTCACTTGTGCAGTGTGTTGCCTCTGAACACTGAATTAAAGAAGCTAGGTTTGCTGACCCATGGAGCTAGAGCAAAGTGCCTCTGGGCTGAGGCTTTCAGCAGAGTGAAGTGCCCTTTGCTCATTTATCAGCACCCCTAAAAGACAGAACAGGGTAGAGGCCAGATCAAGGGCCCAGGAGAAGCCTGTCTGCTGGCACAGTTGAGAAGAAGCTGTCCTGACTGGAAGAACTGCTCTGAGTATTTCTGACCCTGAATTGTATGTAACCTGTTAACTTCCATAATAGACCGCATAATTGTGAGTACTATCTTAGTTCTCTATGGCCACTGCAAAGAACTATTGAACCCAGTAGAGTAAAAGGCCATGGGAGGGATGCTGTCAATTGGTAGAAAAGGTTAGTGGGTAGAGGCATGCCTGACATCCACCTCAGGAATTGCTTTGAGCTAGTGATTCTCCTCCTTCCCCCTTTGTAGCGTCAGAGGAGGTCACTCATGACCTCCATACCTTAAGTCCTGGAACTGAACTCAGTGCATTGGCTCAACTTTCAGTCAAACAGTTGCTGTTGGGTCGGTTCCAACTCAAAGATCCTGTATAGGTTTTTCTCACAGAAGAGTGGCTGGCGAATTTCAACTGTTGACCTTGCAATTCAAACTACCCTTGAAGAAAAGATTGAAGTTGTTAATGACTTCATTTTTCTTGAACCAACCATCAACACTCATGGAAGAAGCAGTCAGGAAATCAAACTATGTATTGCATTAGGCAAATCTGCTGCAAAGACCTCTTTTAAAATATCGAAAAGCAAAGATGTCAGTTTGAGGACTAAGGTGCGCCTGATGAAAGCCATGGTATTTTCATTAACCTTATATGCATGCGAAAGTTGGATAGTAAATAAGGAAGACTGTAGAAGAATTGATGCATTTGAATTATTGTGTTGGAGGAGAATATTGAAAGTACCATGGACTGCTAAAAGAACAAATAGATCTGTGTTGTAAGAAATACAGCCAGAGTGTTCCTTGGAAGGTAGGATCGCCAGACTTCGTCTTTCATACTTTGGACATATTATCAGGAGGGACCGTCATGGAGAAGGATATCATGCTAGGTAAAGTGGAGGGTCAAAGAAAAAGAAGAAGACCTCAAATGAGACAGATTGGCACAGTGGTGGCATCAGTGGGCTCAAATGTAACAATGATTGTGAGGTGGGCCCAGGACTGTTTCATTCTGTTGTGCATAGGGTCACTATGAATTGGTACCAACTTGATGGCACCTAACAACAACAACAACAGATTTGCTGACCGATGGAGCTAGAACTGAGTTCCTTCAGGCTGAGGATTATGGTGTAGTGGTGTGTCCTGTGGCCATTTGTTAGCAGCTGTAAAAGCTTTGTAACATTGCCCAGGCAGAGAGTGGCCTGCCTGTGAGCACAGCTGAGGAGAGACTGTCCTAACTGGAAGAACTGTGTCCTGAGCATTTCCTGATCCTGTACTGTAATCTGTTAACTTCCTAGTAAACCCCATAACTGTGAGTATGGTGTCTGAGTTCTGTGTGGCCATTGCAGTGAAGTCTCGGACCCAGATGAGGAGAAATAGTGGTGTGGGAGGAAAGGTTGGTGCTATTTTTTTTCTTGCTGTATTGTCACCCCACAGGAAACTGTGCTCATTAACCGTCATTCTTCCTTGCATTCCCTTGGCAACCACTAATCTGTTTTCTATCTCTGTGGATCCTATTTTGGACATTTCATATAAATGGAATAACATGATCTTTTTTGCTTTGCTTATTTCACGCAGCTTGTCTTCAAAGCTCACTCATGTAGCATGTATCAGAACATCATTGCATTCGACTCAATTGATGGACGTTTAGATTGTTTCTGCCTTTTGGCTATTATGAATAATGATGCTCTCAACCTCATATACAGGTTTTGTGTAAGCATATGTTTTCATATGTGTATGTTGGAGTGAAATTACTGGGTTATATTGGTGTCCTGGTATGGCACTGTGGGTTAATGCACTGGACTGCAAAATCATTTGAACCACAAGGTCAGTGGTTCAGTCTCACTAGCCACTTCTCAGAAACCCTATACAGGGTCGCTATGGGTCAGAACCGACTTGACAGCACTTAACAACAAAAACATGGTAACTGTATCTCACATTTTGGGGAATTGCCAACTGTTTTCCAACATGACTACACAGTTTTACATTCACCAAGCATTGTAGAGGATTCCAGTTTCTTCATGTCCTCACCAAATCTTATTGTCTCTTCTTTATTATAGCCATCTTGTTAAGTGTCATCGAGTCTGTTCCAACTCATAGCAATTCAGTATAGGGTCTCTATGGAGTTGCAGGTGGATTTGAACCATCATCCTTGTGATTAGCAGTCCAGTGTTTATCCTACAGTGTCACTCTGGAACTCTACAGTGCCATCTCATTTCATTTGTGTTTGTCTATTGATTGTTGTTGTTGTGAAGTGCCACTGAGTCGATTTTGACCCATAGCGACCCTGTATAGCGTTTCCAAGGAGTAGCTGGTGAGCTTGAACTGCCAACCTTGCAGTTCAAATGGCTATGCAGTCTGGCACATTAACCCACAGCACCACACCAGGACTCCCATTCTCTACTGATTAGTGACATTGAATATTTTCTATGTGTTAATTACAAGTGTTTTTTAATGTAAAATATGGTTCATTCACTGTGGGTTAATGCGCCAGACTGCAAAGCTGCTCGAACTGCAAGGTCCGTGGTTCAAGCTCACCAGCTGCTCCTTGGAAACCCTATACAGGGTCGCTATGGGTCAGGATTGACTTGACAGCACTAAACAACAACAAACTAAAAATGAAACAAAAAGGAACCTTTGAAAAGGGTAAGAAAATTATATACAAATATATGGTCAGAAATAGATGGTCATCTTAAATTTATCAGGGCGCCTAACTTTTTACTTATCTTTGAACCTTGAAATGTATAGTATTTGTTCATTGAGCACATATATTGTGCCATAGCTCATTTATAATAACATATTTTTAATCTATCTGAAAAGTTAATTCTGGTCCTGTAGGATAAACACTGAACTGCTAACTGCAGAGTCAGTGATTCAAACCTACCAGCCACTCCTTGGAAACTCTTTACAGGATTACTATAAGTCAGAATCAACTCAGTGGCACTTAACAAAAACAACAACATGATTCTAGAAACCACTTGGCAAGTTTCACATGTTTAAATTTTGTTGTTTAACCAAATGGACTATTTTAATATTTATGTTTTCATTATATTGGTATAACATGTAATATTTACATAAGCCATTTTTCCAACAGAGGTGGTGTTAATTAATGAGCATTTAAAAGTAGTCTTAGTTTGAATTTGTATGGTCTGTCTCGACTATTAAAGTAAAATACCTGTTTGGGTTTTTTTTTTGCAGATAATGCATACATATGTCTGGATGAGAAAGTGACTGTTGGTTTGGTCATCCATAATGTGAGTCATTGTTTAAGTATATTTTGGTCTGTAAGCTGTTCTGCATGTCCCTTTTATAGGAGCTGATGTTGCTAATGTCTGTAATGAAGCTGCTTTGATTGCTGCGAGGCACCTTTCAGACTCCATAAATCAGAAACACTTTGAACAAGCAATCGAACGAGTTATTGGAGGTAAGGCTACTGAATGTAATTCAAGTCAGAAGGCTGATTAAATGAATTTGAGGCAGGGTATTTCTGTGTTTTGGCAAGATGTAGAAACAGAAGTGTATCTAGCCAGTGCTGGGAATCACCATGCCTGCTTGGGGCCTCGAATGAGCGAGTTCCTATCCCTGACTTGAGTGATATATGAATGATTTTAACAGGCATTTACAGGACTAGAGTTGGTGGTTCACGGTAAGCTCCGCTGTCACAGGCAGCAGGTGTCTAGAGTGTCTTCCCTTGGATGATACCAACCTAATTCTAACAAGAAAAGGCTGACAGTCTTCCTGTTTCAAACCACTGCACAGCGTGAATGAAATGTGCTCTATGTAGATATTGGTGGTGGACATCAAAGTCTACCCGACAAGAAAGAGGTCAGTCTCTGCCAGCACAGAGGGAATGCACACTGCGGGCTTTTCTTATTCTCTAAAGTGTTTCTACTTTAATACCCATGAGTTGTTGTTTGTTGTTAAGGGCTGTTGAGTTGGTTCCGACACATAGTGACCCTGTATAGTTTCCAAGGAGCCACTGGTGATCTTGAACTGCTGTCCTTACAGTTCAGATCAACTTTTCAGTTCAGTGCATTAACCCACAGCACCACACCAGGACTCTAGTATCCAGAGTTTTGTTGTTAAGTGCCATCGAGTCGATACCCAGAGTAGAGTGTGACAATTCAAGTATTTGGAAATACATAGGAGAGGAAAGCTTTGGACTGCAGGGGCCCGGCAGAGCTTTATGGAAGGATGGAGGTTTTAAACTGGATCAGTAGGAAAGTAGTACATGGTGTGAAGTGACATGGGCAGAAGGCACTGGAGGTAGCAGTGCACATCTGTGCCTGAGGCAGGAAAAGTCAGACTCAAACTCTGTGGACAAGTAAAGCGTAGATGGAAAACTTGCCTAATTCTAGATTTTGGGAAGCCTTGAATGCTAAGCTCAATGGTTTTATGAATTTTGCCCAGTAGCCAGGCTTGAGCTAGCAAGGTTTTTTTCCTGAGTCATCAGAAACCCTATACAGGGTTGCTATGGGTCGGAACCCACTTGATGGCACTTAACAACAACAACAATAGAGTAAGAGAATATTTTAGGGAAGAGAATCTAGCTTTGAAGAGAGGGGAACAGAGACCATAGAGTCATTAGTGTGAGATAGCAGGGTCTAGCGTGGGCAGTATCAGTAAAAACAGGGCGAGGAAGGACAGATATAAGGAAGAACAGTGCCCTGGAAGCAGGTGGTTTGAGATGGGCACTGTCCACTGGAATTGCTGTATAGTGCTCCATGTGGGGCAGGTTGTGTAGTTCCCGAGACCAGCAGTTGAAGTTGATGGTGGTTGAGAATATTTAGGGATCATGGTGACACTGAGGGGAGGAGGGGCCATTTTTAGTAGCAGAGGGGAGAATTATGAGTTGACAGGGTCATCAGGGTTTTCTGTATGCCATGCACAAGTCAGCACTAAAGGTACATCAGTGAATAAGGAAGAGGTTCCAAGAAGGTGGGGGGATGGGAGACACAGGTTGTGACGAGTTCATAAAGAAGAGGTTCTTGGCAGGGGCAGGTGATGTAGGAATGTTAAGCATTTGGCAGTGAGACTGTTCCTCGGTGCCAGTTTCAGTATAGAGTATGAAACCAGATTAGTGGAGATATCAGGGAGGAGAGCGAGGTCAACCTAACAATGTGTTTAGCATGAGTTGGTGGTAGTGGTGGTTGTGTGTTGAGTTGATACCACGTCATGGTGACCCTGTAGGGTTACCAAGGCTGTAAATCTATGGGAGAAGAAAGCCTGTAGATTTGAACTGCTGACCTTGCAGCTGGCAGTCCAGCGACTAATCCAAGTGTTAAATAAGCAAATAATTAATTAATTAATGAAACAGCCATTTATTCTAGAATTTAGAATTGAAAAAATCTAAGATGATAGAGTTGATATATTTAAAATGATTCACTTCAGAGACAGGTGAAAATTGTGTATTTACACCTTTTATGTCAAAGGGAACTATCAGTGTTTAGTACAAACTTGAGACTATGAAAGACCAGAATGGTTAGTGTGCTGGGGACTCCAGCATTGGCCTAGCTGACTCATAGGTGTTCCAGATGTTTAACTCTCTCAGGACTTTCTCTGTCACCTGCCATCCATCAGGAATATAGAATAGTTAGTCTTTTGTGGCAAGCATCTTTTTTTGCCCAGTACTTGATAATTCTGCATATTTAAACCAAGCAGTTAGGATCTTTTCAGAGTTCTTTGATTTTTATGAGTTTCATATATTTTTAATTGAGCTAAGTGCTGGATTTTATTTGTGTTTTTATTTCCCAAAATAGCATATATGATTTAAAGGAGTGGGAGAGTTGAGAAGGTAATCTAGAGACAGGCATGGTGAATGTATTTTTGCCTAAAGTTGGGTGCATTTTGAAGTAGCTTTTTGCTTTTATTCCGAACTCGTTGGGGAATTTTTGACTTGTCATAGGTAGCTAAGCTTCTAAAAGCGCTTTAGAATTTGAGTATTGTATCTGTGTTACATGATTGTCTTTTTGTGCCAGTGTTAGTGAAACAGAGGCCTTGGTGTTTTGTTAGGTTTAGAGAAAAAAACCCAGGTTCTGCAGCCGGAGGAGAAAAGGACTGTGGCATACCATGAAGCAGGCCATGCGGTTGCAGGCTGGTACCTGGAGCATGCAGACCCACTATTGAAGGTAAAGCAATGTGTGTTAAATCTAAGAAAATCAACTGAGCAGGCAGTTTTCTTGAGAAGAAAATTGTACTCCCACAAAGGATAAATATATGTTTAAGTTTAAATCAATTTGACAAGTAGAATGAAATATTCATGTGAGCCCTCCAACAGATAAGTTAGAAAATTTGGAAATAAAACTACTTTTTAAAGGGACCAAGAAGTATTCAAACACAGACCAAAGTTGGAAGACTGTTTACTCTTGAAAAGCAGAAAATGCAGTGGGTAAGAATTGGGAGTTTGTTCTTCTTGCATGAAACTTTTCCCTGTACTCCTCAGCTACAGTTGTTGAAAATGTTGGGTTTAATACCTTGAGATGGCAATAGAGAGAGTTGAGGACTTGAAGAGCATTGGAAAATTAGCAGGGAAATACTGGAAGCAAGAAAACTACAGGAGAGACCCCAATTTGTATAAAAGTGCTCAAATTCCTGCGTGACTGATAAACTGCATAGGCACAGGTAGAGCAAAGAAAAATCTACCCTTGAAAGAGAGATGCACAAAGTGAGATTTTTAAGTTTTCAACTGTTTTTTTTGTTTGTTTGTTTGTTTGTTTACTTAAGGTTTTTATTGTAGATTGAGTGAAAGTTTACAGGGCACATCATCAGTTTGACATTCAGCAAATCATGCACCTTGTTTCATTACAATGATTATAATCCCCTCCATGTACCATAAGTTAACAGTATTTCTCTCTATCCACTTTAGCTTTTTAAAAAACAAGCAAACAAACAAAAACACTCAGCCATATATAATAATATCCACCTCCAAAGGGCACATTCTGCAAGTCTGCCTCCTGGCCACCAGCTTTTAGTCCCTCTCTTCTTAGTCCATGAGTCTAGAGTCCTCAGCCGCTCCCCCTCTCCATGCCCCCATCTCTGCCTCCATCTCTGGTGCTGCTGCTTCTCTGGATAAGGTCCCGCATTCTGCTTGTGCGCGTCTCTCGCGATGGTCCTAGGGTCCTCTGTTTCTGGACTGTAAGATTAATCACTCCCCTTTTTTTATTACAAAACTTCTACCTTTACAATTGTGACAGTCGTGATTAGTCATGATAACAATTATTCACTGTTGAATCTTACGAATCTTATCCCCATCTCTTTTCACCAGACCCATCTAGAAAAGATGACAGCTATTCAGTGGGGACTCTTTCTTTCCTCCCATACTCTTAAACTAAACTCCCTCTTGAAACCTTGTAAGCCAGTCACTTCGTGCCTTTATTGCCCCCTTATTTTAGATAGCCAATGACTAAGTTGCCCGTCTCTATCTACCCTGTGTATAGAGGGGATAGCATTGATACTTGATGTGAAGACTCTTTCCCTCTCTGTTGGTATTTAGAGTAACTACCGCTCTTGAGTATAGGTCAGGTTCATCA